GGTATAGAATCTCTCTTTGTTTGGTATGTGGTTTCTGTTCAGTGAGATCAGATTCTGATGGAGCCTCCACCCTGGCTGTGTCTCCCATGCCTACCGAACACCGCCTTCTCGGAAGCAGAGTGCTTCCCCTGCTCTCCTTGCTGGTGCTGCTCTTGCCCTTCTGGGTGTTAGAGGAGAGAGGGAGGTTGATAGGACGGGCGGTGATGGTTCATTCTCCAAGTGAGGCGGCTTGGGGGGTGGGTAGGGGCACGGAAACTGCCAGGTCTGGCACGCCTCTGTGAAACCCGTTTCCCTGCCTGCTGTCCTCTCCTCCTCCGGCCAGAGCCGAGAGGCAGAGCAAACCGCTGAATCACTGTTTACCTGATTGGGCAGGAGCAGTAGTGGTCGTTTCCCCTGTGCTCCGAAATGGAAGTGAAAAGCTGTAGCAGTAAAACCATTCAGACCCAACCTTGTTCTCTCTTAGATTACTCTCCATCTTCTTGTCTTAAAACAGTTTAAAACCAGTTAAGGAAAGACTAAGTGAGCTACTCTCCAGATGAGAGGGTTTAGGGCATAAGGTATTAGAGTTCTTATTCCTGTGTTACTGCACGTGAATAAATGACCTCAGAGAGGTGACCATGAATCAGGGCTGCCATCCAGGAGTCTGTCCTTGCCATTCTGTTCCCTTGAGGACTGGAGATGCCAATTTGTCCTTGATGAAACTGCAACTCTCATTAGCCATGGAGAAATTACTTTCTGTAGCCAGAATCGATCAACCTTCATCTCCGGACAATGATAGAGCTGCCTTTTGAGTCATTCTTTTTCTCCTCCTTGTGGTTTTTGCTTTTGAAACACTGTATTTTGCTTTTGAAAGACCAGTAGTTATTTCTTGCTGTTGCCAATTAACTCTCATTTAGGTACTAGTATATTGTATGGCCTTAGATATAATTAAAATAAGGCCTTGTGGGTCAGTGGGAAGAGCAGAGGTTCAAAGGTCTTGAGATTGGTTCCAGGGAAAGGAGGGGAAGAAAAATATAGTTTAAGTGCTAACTATGAGTATGGCACCTTGCTTGGCATCTATATGATTGTAACTTCATGAAAATCAGCTGTGCAGGCCCGGGAGCTCCCGAGTCCTTCATTCTCATGTCCTTACCTTACAGGAGCAATGATGTCTGGGTCCTTGACCTCGAGCAGTGGGCATGGTCCAAGCCGAACATCTCTGGCCCCAGTCCTCATCCTCGAGGTGGCCAATCTCAGGTGCTCAGGAATTAAAATAACTATTCATCAAACACTGTAGTATCTTTCAGTTAGGATGGTAGAGGGGGGAGGGAGCCAGGTAAGATGCCAACTTGCATAAGCCAAAGAGAATTTGTCATTCTTTTTTGTTGGCATTTATTTTTCAACTTCTAATGGGTTATATTTATTCTTAGTGGCTGTATATTATGCCTCTCCCCAAAGCATTTACTTGCTCTTCCCTTTCTCAGGAAACCCTGCATTTTATGTGGTTGGCACATAAAATATTTTTCTTGTATTAATATTTGATCAAAAAAGAATATATCCATTCAGGTTAATCATCAGGAACTTGTTCACAAGGATCGGAATCGACGTGATTTGGGGAGACTGGAGAGCTTATGTTAACTAGAATACTCTCATTTGGGACCTGGGTAGGCAATTTTCATATGCCACCAAAGTGTAGGTCAGATTCCTTTGCCTTTGTCAGTTTATTTTATATTCCTTCTTCTTCCTAGATTGTCATAGATGATGGAACTATCTTAATCCTCGGAGGGTGTGGCGGTCCCAACGCCGTGAGTGTTACTGGTGTGGCTTTCCCACGCACATGCTGCTAGTGCTCAGAGCTTGCTTCCCATCTCATCTTGTAAGAATGCACAAGACCATTTCTGTGGCATTTTCCATGGAAAGGGTTTAGAGAACACCCTTTCACTTTGGGTATATAGCCTTTGTATTTTCTAGCTTTCTACTCTGTTCTTTTTTGAGGGGGTAGGCATGCTTTTAATCAGAGACATTTGTTTCTTGAAAATTCATAACTGTATTCCTCCTACTTCCCCTTCCTGTTTAGGCTGTAAGATTGGATGCTATCATTTTTTTCAAGGAGGGGTGGGACAGAAAAGCAGGTGGATAACTGCCAGAGTTCATGTGGAATTTGCACACTCAGAAAGTCATGGATATGTATTACCTAACCTTTCTCCTCTGCCCCTCAGTACACACATACACAAAACCACAGGCAAAATTGAAAACCACTTAAAATGATTCATGGATCACAAGAACAACTTCATGAGAATGAATGAACCATAACCAAAAGTTTTACTGTTTTTTTTTGAAGAGTTCACATGCTCTCTAGACCAGATAGAACAGCCTGGAGATTCCAGCTCTGTGTGTGTGTGTGTGTGTGTGTGTTGTAACGTGTACAACACCTGAGTCCTGTTGTGGGTCCTTCTCTTACAGCTATTCAAGGATGCTTGGTTGTTGCACATGCATTCGTGTCCCTGGGCCTGGCAGCCACTCAAGGTAGAAAATGAAGATCACGGGGCCCCAGAACTGTGGTGCCACCCAGCTTGCCGGGTAAGCAGAGAAACGACAGGCCAGCAAGAGGAGAGGTCCTAAATTGTAAAGCCAAATTAACTTGTAAGATTTCCATGCAAATTTGTATAGAAATAGGAAAACACCTTTTTTTAAATTAAAGTATCATTGATATATAATCTTATGAAGGTTTCACATCAACAACATTGTGGTTTCAGGATTCACCTGTATGATCAACTCCTCAGCCCCTCCATTGCCGTCACTGTCTGTCAGCATAGTAAGACGCTATAGAATCATTACTTGTCTTCTCCGTGCTGTACTGCCTTCCCTGGAAAACACCTTCACAGAAGAAATGGGCATTAACCATAGCTCTGTGGGCATTTCTCACATATGTGACCACGAGATGGGAAAATGTATGTGGGCTCTACTCACCCTTTAGGTCCCAGCTTTAAGCCTCTCTTTGTCTATGAAACTCTCCCCAGGGTACCCCAAACAAAAACTGATAGCTCCATCCACTGTACCCTTATTCAACAGACATAACTCTAATGAGAGCACATATAACATTACCAGCAAATGGCTGCCATGTCCATCTTTCTTCTTCTGGCCTAAATTTTATTTTATTTTATCAAATGTACATCACAGTGGTTCAACAGTCAGTCCCCCATTCCTCCCACCCCTGCCCACTCCTCTTCCCCTTGGTAACCACTAGTCACTTCTTGGTGTCTGTGAGTCTAACGCTGTTTTGTTCCTTAAGTTTTGCTTTGTTTTTATGTTCTACAAATAAGTGAAGTCATATGGTATTTGTCTTTCTGCAGATTCCATTTTTTTCATCTCTGTATCTCAAGTACCTACAAAATGCCTGGTACATCCCAGATGCTCATGGTAAAGTGTTTGGTTAAATGAATGATCAGAACTGAGCCTCGGGTCTTTTGTCTTCCAGGTGGGGCAGTGTGTGGTGGTCTTCAGCCAGGCTCCTAGTGGGAGAGCCCCACTCAGCCCCAGCTTGAACTCTCGCCCATCACCTATCAGTGCCACTGCTCCAGCCCTCGTTCCTGAAACCCGAGAGTACCGCTCTCAGTCTCCCGTGCGGAGTGTGGATGAAGCTCCTTGCGTCAATGGTCGCTGGGGAACCCTGAGGCCCAGAGCTCAAAGGCAGACCCCCTCAAGTTCTCGAGAAGGGAGCCTTTCCCCAGCAAGAGGAGATGGCTCCCCCATCCTCAATGGGGGGAGTTTATCTCCAGGAACAGCAGCTGTAGGTGGCTCTTCCTTGGACAGCCCGGTACAGGCCATATCTCCTAGCACTCCATCCACCACCGAAGGATACGACCTGAAAGTCGGACTCTCTTTGGCCCCCCGACGAGGGTCACTACCAGATCAGAAAGATCTGAGATTAGGATCCATAGATCTGAATTGGGATCTGAAACCTGCTCCCAGTAGCAATCATATGGATGGTGTGGACAACAGAACAGTTGGGGGAAGTATGAGACACCCTCCTGAACAGACCAATGGTGTGCATACCCCACCACATGTGGCCAGTGCCCTTGCAGGAGCTGTCTCCCCAGGTGCGCTGAGGCGGAGCCTAGAAGCCATCAAAGCAATGTCATCCAAAGGCCCTTCAGCCACTGCAGCACTAAGTCCTCCCCTGGGGTCTTCTCCAGGCTCCCCTGGGAGCCAGAACCTGGGCACTGGGGAAACAGTACCCATTTCCCGCCCAGGGCCTGCCCAGGGAGACGGACATTCCTTACCCCCCATTGCCCGCCGCCTGGGCCACCACCCTCCGCAGTCCCTAAATGTTGGCAAACCGTTGTACCAGAGTATGAACTGTAAGCCCATGCAGATGTATGTACTGGACATTAAAGACACCAAGGAGAAGGGGCGGGTCAAGTGGAAAGTATTTAATAGCAGTTCTGTGGTTGGGCCTCCTGAAACCAGCTTGCATACAGTGGTACAAGGCAGGGGTGAGCTCATCATATTTGGAGGACTCATGGACAAGAAACAGAATGTGAAGTACTATCCAAAAACAAACGCCTTGTACTTTGTGCGAGCAAAGAGATAATGTGTTCTAAACCCCTTTCCCTTTCTGTGGCTTTTAATTTTCCAGTGTGCAAGCATTTGGACTAAGAATTGGGAAAACAAAGGACGCAATTACTCCCAAACCAAAACCCCAGCTCCCGACCTCACCCATTCCAGGCTGGGATCAAATCTCCATTAAGAAAAAAAAATTATATATAAATATATAAATATATATTATATAGCCACCTCTGTTTACAAAAAGGGAGCAATCTCCATCCTGGTGCAGGTAAAGTGGTTGGCTGTGATTTAGAAGAGGCTTTGCCACCTTTTCTGCTTTGCTGGTAACTAGATCAAGATTTTAGGGAGCAGACTAATGTCAGAACTTTCCTAAAGAAACTGAAGAGTCCCCATAAGTCTTTATGCGGCCTTCTTGGAGTTAGAAAAAGAAAAATGTGTGTAAGATGCACAAGTGGGGGCTTCAGATTCACATGCTTCAGGTGTTGGTGGGGTTAAAGGAGCCTCCGAAAGCTGTTCCTCCCCTTCTAAAACCAGAGGACCTGTGAGAACCCCTGTGTGGTAATGCCTGTGCCTGGCCCCATTATGCCCTTTCTGACTGAGGAAAGTTTCCCAACAAGGACTTTTGTACCACATCTGTATGCCAGGATCATCATGAAACAATGTTTATGCAGTGACCTAGTATCCATTGGTCTTGGAGTGCACCCTCTGTGTCTCTGAATACATTTTGCTGTCTGATTTGGGAATTTTCTGACAATCATATTTGGTTGCAAGTTGCCAAAACCACATTTGTTCTCTTTTTCCTTTTCTTAAAATGTGCTCCTCAGAGCCTGCCTTTTCCATTTATTGGCTGCTCTTTCTTTTCTCTCTGTTTTGTTAGCGTATGTGGATTTTTGTTAAGCCCTAAAACCTTACTCATTTTCTGTTTCTTTTATAAAGCTCAGGTGCCCAGGGAAATCTCCCCAAAATATTTCTGGATCCCTTTCTCTGGTGTCACTAGGGGGCTGGTAGGGAATTCCAAGATGCCAGTATCCTGAGAAATCCTTGAGTCATCAGTAAATAAGATCTTTTCCTTAAGGGCTTCTTTGACCTCCAGAGCACATTGTGCATACTCATCCATGTTTGTCGAATGTGGAAACTGGTCCTGGAAGGGAATCCCAAGAACAGTTCTAGAAATGATTTTTGCCTGTGTTGTGACATGTGTTTTTCCTGCCTGCCTGTTGACAAGTGACTGGGTTGAATGTCAGGTGCTTGGCCTCTGATGCTTGGTTAACGGCAGGAGTAGCTTCTCCTTTGTTACTGCCTTATTCACGTGTCACCCAAATAAGGCTTGGGTTTTTCACATCATTTCTGAGATGAAGTGTAACTAACTAGAGCATTTCTTTGGTTGGTACAGGGAGTTAAAAGTTACCAATCTCTAAACCGTGGCATGGACATAGGAGATGTTGGAATAAGCTCCACTTAAGTGTGTATTCTTGGTGATTTCTCATTAGTGGAAAGAAGATTTTTGTTTTGCCTTTAGGAGTTACATTTCAAAACACTGCATTTTCTATCCCCACAGTCTCCTTTTTCTCGTTAGTGTTTCCTAAGCACAAGCCTGCTGCAGCTGGCCCCAAGTCCTGGCTTTCAGCCAGCTCTTAGCAGTCTGCCTGATGAGTGGGTTTTCTCCTGTTGTGTCATGTTGAATCCTGTCCCCTAAGCCATTAGCTTTTACAGTGTGCTCTTGGTGGGAAAGACCCCTGGTGCCAAGCCCAGGCAGGGCCAGCTGACGGGGACGGTTTTATGTTCCAGAAACTGCTCCGTGTGCTCCCTTAGATGAAGAAGCTACCATGTGCCTACTTCTGTGGTATCATCCAGTTACTCATAGCTCAGCCCTTTGCTTTCCAGACTCCCTGCCCTGGGGCTGTTACCAGTCCTTTGGCAGACTGTTAGATGATGCGCAGTAAGAGAAAGCTAGCCTAGAAGGTTAGCAGCTTTGCTGAAACTTGTTTATGACATTGTATCTGTGCATGGACAGTGCCTCCAAACTCAATTCCTATTGAAATATAAAGTATTTGGAGGCCTGGAAGTCCAGAATGTCAACTGTAGTCTTTCCCTTTGTCCTGTGGCCTTCCCAAACTCGCTGTTACTGATTCCTTCTACTTCCCCAAGTAGGCAGGCATCAGAGATGATTCGTTTAGAAAGTAACCCAGCTCCTCACCTCCATGGCATCCCAGTATTACACCACTCAGAACCAGACTGTCCATTTACCTGCTTTTAAGAAGAATCTGCCTCATCTGCACCCTGTGGTATTGGTCTTGGTGACTCCTGGGCACCATGGGCATACACCTTGGGGTGTGTAACTCAACACAGTCAAGGTGATTGTCCCCTCAGGTCCTTGTGAAGCCGCATGTGCAGTGGAACTTCAAGTGTCCCGGCTGAGGTGAGCATTTCCACAATGCCTTGGAGGTCAGGTCAGATTTAACCACAACTCTGGTTTCAACATGATGCCAGTTTTGTTCTTAAAATTCACCGAGAGAAATGGGACAAAATATTTTTTTAAACCCTCAGAAGCACCTAAAGCAAATACTTACCAGTATTTAAGATCCATTTTGTTTCTACTTGAAGCTTTAACCCCTTCTCTCCCCGCAAGTGTGCCTTCGAGAGCCCCCGTGTCATACTAACTGCACCGGCCACCTCACTGACCTCATGTGAAATTTTAGTCTCTCTCCACCTTCCTAAACAGAGCTTCCGTTTTCTCATTTTGCAGGCTGTGCCTCAGAGAGGGTTCTGAGTTTTTGTTCATATTTCTACCCTTTGCTGGTGGGCTTCACAGACTCCCCACCTTCCCTCCACATAAACCTTTTGGGAGGACAAATGAGGTGTCAGAACAAGCTTAAATTTAGTTATAAGGCAATACTGGACTTACTCTCCTCCCAGCCCTCTGCAGACTGACTTGATTTTAATATTTGAGTTTTATATCGAGTTGAATACATGAACAACATAGGAATTATATTGGAACTCTTTACAAAAAAAGAAGAGGGAGAAGAAAGAAGACCAGCTGAGGAAGTCTGACTCGGGGGGGACCGAAAGCCACCAGCTGATGGAAAACAAAGGGACGCTCCCCTCCCTTCATCTTCCTGGGTTTCCTTCTGCTTTGCTTCTTTTCCTTCCCCTTAAAAGTGACATTTCTGGTTGGTTTGTCTTTCCTTGTCCTTGTGGTAGTCCTGGCATGGTGACGGGCTCTGCTTTGCACTACCTGTGCTCTCTTACCAGGGCACAAGCCGGTGTGGGGGATCTGAACACATCCAGGGGCAAGGAAGCTGAACTTGGAGGCGTGCGTCCCGCGCAGCCTCCCCGCAAACTGCAGAAGGCATGTTGTGCATGCTCACCAGTACGTGGCTCCCTCTCTCCATGTTCATTGTCAAATGAGAGCAGCCCTTGGGCATTGGCTCCATCTGTACTCGTAACTCCTCGCTCTGCTCCCCTCCCACCAACCAGGGTTCCCACCGGGGCGCCCCCGTGCGGCCCGGCGAAGCTGGTGCTGTGAGCGATGTTTCCCATACAGCTCGGGTCCCAGGTGGCTTACCCTGAGATGGTCGTTTTAGGCACATAACAATATAGGAATGAAAAGTGGATTTCATTGATATTTCAATCTGTCGGTTTCATTTTTGTTAATGTTTTTCCCCAATGACTTTTTAGCAATTTAACAAATAAAACAAAATGGACAGAGTTGTCTTAACTGTTTTATTAGCAAAAAAGAAGAAACAAACAGCTGTGATGGAAAGCAACTGAGCTTGGAGATTGAAGTTGGAAGTAGTTAGAAAGGTATTGTTTCTCCTCCAGGAAGATTCTGTTTTTGGGTAGAGTTGGAGAGTTTCCCTCCCTTGGGGACAACACCATTTAATAATAAAGCAACCCCCTCATGTGTAAAGGACTCTGTGTTTGAGAATCCCAGTTCCACTCTGAGGTGGAGACCCAAGAGGAATGATGAGCTTGGAACAGAGGTCCAGGGGCCAGAACAGCATCAATAAAATTTCTGGTCTCCTAACACAGCTGAGAGCACGGAGCCCCAGGATCTTGAAACAGCATAGCACGGCCTTAGAAGGCCGTGACCTAATACTGTCCTCCCCTACTTAACTGCTTAACTGTGGGTACAAGTTTTCTCACCTCCAAACCTAGCTATTCTGTCTTACGGGTGCATGAGGATTAATTGAAGTTGTATATGTCAGCACGAGCACTATGCCTGGCACATAGTAAATGCTCAGTGGATGGCCGCAGTTACTGAAAATTAGCTCTTGAAGAAAATACAAGCTCCTGCAGAAAGGGCTGGGCTCAGTGTGTAACTGTTAGGAGCATCCCCTTGCTAAGGAACGTACAGAACTTCGGAGGCTTTGGCCTCTCAGGAGCAGTAAGTAACAGCTGCTGCCATAAATCAGGTCAGAGCCGTCTTCAGTTGTTTAACCTCCCTTTTGGACTTGATTCTTTCGTTTCAGTCAGTTGAATTTGACCTCTGGCACATTAAGGTGTTCTGCCTGTTTTCAAGGGTACCCCTAGTTGGCAGCCAGTCTGGAAATACCAGCTGAGGGCTGATGACGAGTGTATGCCCACTTGTGTGGGGACCTAGGTGGAGCCAGGCTCCACGAGGGGAGGGGGCTCCAGCCCTGAAGCCACTTACTAGGTATATGCCAGTTTCTTACTCCCATGGGCTGTCCTGGCCCAGGTGCTGTCAGCCTGCAGCTGTCATCCTGCCTGCACATTTGTGATTCCCAAGTTATAGAAGAAAACTTTTCCATTTCTAATAACATGTCTGATGCTGTCTATTCTGTTTACCATACTTTGGGGCACATCACAAACTAGAGTGTGGTCTGAGGAAGGGCCTTGGGTGCAAAGGACCCAGCACCTTCTGCTGGTAGCCACGGGCAGTGATGTTAGGAGTAGAATGTTTAATTTGAATTCTTCCACAGTTGCCCTTGGGGAAGGGTTGGACTTCTTTGTGGGTCTCTTAACAAGGTCCAGTGGATAGAAGCTCTAAGGGAAAGATTTCAGGGTCATTGGGAAGAACTTTGTGAGTCAGAGATGTAAGTATGGGGTGAAACCAGCCTTGGGGGAAATTCAAGCATTGCTTGGACAGTCTGGGGGATGTTGTAGAGTAGGCAGTGTTCCATGGGTAGGGTGCCAGTGGTGATGGGTGGTCCCAGGGAAGAAAGCAGACATCAGTGCCTGGGGTCAGGGAAGGTCCCGTCCCTGAGGCTGCCCTGACCATCCCAGCTCAGTGTCCGGTGCCAGATGCCATGCTTCTGAACGCTGATGAGCCTGCTCCAGCGCTGGAGGGGATCTGAACAGGAAGACAGTGACATGGTCGGCCCCCAGGGACTTGCCGATTGGAGAAGCCTTAAGTGTCAAGGACACGGCTCAGGGAAGAGCCAGGATGCACCCGAGGCCTTCCGGGAGGTGGGAGCCACTGCCCACCTGCGCAGACCAGCACAGGGCTCCTGGCCACCCCCTTGTGTACTAGAGGGCCGGAGGCCTGTGCACATTGGGTCAAAATTACAGCACCTAGCCAGGGAAAGAGCAGCTTCACACTGGTCTTTGTAACTCTCCAGCTGGCTCAGTATGGGAGGCAGTGCAGGAAATCAGATGAAACCAAGGCCTTGTACTGTCTCTACCCTGAGCCAGCTCCTCAGCCCAAAGCTTTGGCTCACACCACCCTGATCCGGAGAACCTGGAAAAGACCAGGCTTCAAGCACCCTCAGGTCCAGGCAGGATAGGAGGCACCACTTTGAAATCCAGCAGGCTGGCCTGCTGGCAGGGCTGCCACACAAGACTGGTTTACCCTTGCTCCTCTGTGCCTTCTCACCTTCCCCAGGCAGGGCAGCTTCCCTAGCTGAGGTCCATCATCTGCCCCCAAATGCCGTAAGTCTCCCAGCTGCAGACTTTGAACCAGGAAAAGCCTTGCTCAAAAGCTGCCTCTGTCACTTTGAGCTGAGGCTAGTCATCCCCCTTTCTGAGCCTGTTTGATCACAAAAATGGCAAAGATGCCGCCAGGCTCGCAGGTCAGCCATCGGGCTGGAACCAGCAATCATTGTTCATCTATGGAATGGGTGATTCCCCCAGGAGACCACCTGGGGGCACCCTATGAAAGGCTTTTGGCTCCCCCATAGGCAGTCTTGAGAGGGAAACTGAACAGGCTAGAGAAAATGGCCACGTCTCCCCTCGCTCTGTTGATAAAGTCTCGGATAGGACCCGTATCTGGCCTCTGCTGCTCTTCTGAGCCCCATCCCCAGGCTGGCCGGCCTGCCCTCCGTGCCCCAGCCCCCAGCTGTGGGAAAGCAGTGCTTCCCCAGGGGGCTGGGCACTGGGCCCAGGCCCTGTCAGCATGCACAAAGCTGATCTGATGTTTTAAGTAAATGCCTGAGAGGTCTGGCAGAGGCTGCCATGACCCATCAGGGAGCCTGTCTGCCCACCCACTGCAGGGAAGAGAAGGAGGGCTGAGGGCCAGGCCTTACCAGGCAGAAGCCTGGGAGGAAGAAGTAAGCTCCTGCCCAGGACTGGGGGACTTGGGCTGCCACCCACCCATCAGCAAGGCCAGGAGAGCCCAGGATGGCCCCAGAGAGCACTCATGCGCAGCACGCATGCCCTGAGCACGTACTGACACCCCCGAGGAACAGGGACACAAACGACCCAGAAGAGACCTTCCCCTGAGGGAGCTCACGGCTTCCTCACAAACCAGGGAGGTGTCGCCGTGGGCAAACGATGACCAATCCCGAGCTTCTGAAGCCAAAAGACAGCCACTGTATCGTACTAAAAAGCTATAAAGGAGATGGAGTCAGTGCAACTGTCGGCAACCAACACAGCTAGCCAGGGGCAAGACGGTTGTTTGGGAAGGTAGAGGGCTAAGAAGTTGGTTTTCTCCGTGCTTCAGTCTTCCCCCTGCTAAACTGAGGCAGGGGGCAGATGAGAATAGGGCCTTTCTGTGGGATCCTAAGAGTGGGGTTCAAGCCTGGCCTGCCTCTGGCAGTTAGTAATGCAGGACGTTGCCAGGCTTGCAGGCCTCAGACTGGAAAGACAGACATGCTGTGCTCCACAAAGGGTGCAAAAAAGCTGTGGGACGTCTGGCGTCTCTGGAGGGGCTGGTGTGCAGGGCTGAGGACTGCACATGGCAGTTGGTGCGAATGTGATGACCAGAGGGCACCCCTTAGTTGCAGTGGGGAAAGAAGCTCATGACCAGAGCCCACGGTGGGAGGAGAAAGCATCTCTGACAGACCAACATGGATGGGGCCGTGCCAGGGGTGCAGAGAAGCGAGTTCTCTGGAGCAGGAGGCCACAGAGGCCCAAAGGGATGCTGCCCAAGGGGTGGGTGGCCCCCCAGCCACGCTTCCCTAGCATTTGGGTAAACCACTTTCCCCAACTTCCACTGAACATGAGCCCTAGGACCAGAGGAAGGGGAAATAAAAGGAAACAACCTTGAAGAGACTGTGTTTAAAATGTTTAGAAAATGAGGAATCACTGAATTTCAGTTTACCAAGAAGATGCTGGATTAAAGTGCCTGCATGGCAGAGGGATATTAAGTTGGGCTAGAGGAAGCA